TATAAGCACCTCACAACCTATTGAAAGTCCAAGGTTATTGATAGATTTGTAATAATTTCTTTTTTAAAACGTCTGAACTAAAATTTACAATGTGCATGAGAAACTTCAAATTTACTCTTTAAGTGTGGTAAGATGAGGACAAAAATTGTCATAACAGTTGTATAATTTTGATCAGTTTTCACATCCTATTTAATAAATGGGCATTCATATTGCCAAACAAATATCTGAATGACCCATTTACCAAGTGCCTACGTGACAAAAAGTAGTCATTGTCAATTGATGTACCATGACTGGCTGATTCCCAGGAAAGCATTCTGCGTTCAGGTGCTAAAATTATGCTCCTAAAGTGTGCAATGTGCTTTGTTTTAAAGGAAGAGAGGTTAAATTTCAACATCGTAAATTGGGGAACCTTTTTCTGAATTTAATTTCCCCCCTAATCATGAAGCCAATGTAGATTTCTCCAATGTCAACACAAATTTGCATTGATTCTAAATTAAAAAGAGCTTAATGGTTGATCAATGTAATTCCTGTTAAGTTAGCAGCTATTGAAAACTTCAAATTTTTACTGACAACATTGTACTGAAGTTGGTTCTGTCTAGCAAGACAAATTACAAGATAAGTGTTGACTTGGGATGTTTGTAAAGGAATTCTTTAACCTAGTGAAGGTTGGGAACCTCTATTGGAGGTTCAAGGTTTTTCTGGAACTGCGTCTTACACTTGTCACAAAAAAAAATTCTCTGAACTGAAACTATGTCACATCTACTCATCAAACATCTGTTTTAGTTGTTTTAATTTTTTGTAAAAATATCCTACAATATGAAATGGTTTAAAAGAAAGGTCTTTTCTAACAGAAAATCTATAGTATCCCAGTGAGTCCCAATGTGAAAAGTATTTGGAAAAGATTACTACACTTGAGTTGCTTGAAAGCACTGGCTAATCCTAACATATGACAATATTAGTGGATCAACAAAACAAAAATCTTATGGTCTAGATCAATATTAACCTTAACCAGCTTAGCCTTGTATTTAAAAAGGTGTCAAAATGTTTCCATCTCTAATTATATAAAAAGGAAACTCTCAAATATGAGATAGCTGCAACCTTTCAAAAACTAAATTGAAAAATTTACACTTTAAATCACTCAGGAATTATAATGGAAACCCTTAATGTTGTTTCTATTAAAGTTCTTTCAATAAAATATATATATATATATATATATATATATATATATATATATATATATATATATATATATATATACTGTAGAAGCACACATTTTCATGGGGATAAAATTTCATTGATTTGTAATCTAAAAAGGTTTCGTGGGCATTAAATTTCATTGTTTCGTAAGTAACCCTATTCAATATATAGTCATACAAAAAATTCGTGTTGGATTTATTTTCGTTGATAATTGTTAACAACGAAATAAACAAAATTTAATCCACCACGAATATTTCTGCTTTTACAGTATATAGAACTTAATACATGTACCCAGTACTTAATACATATGTAAGTACTTATGAGTGAAAAAAAAAATTATGCAGTTTACAAACCCTAATTATATATTCTCTCTTAAAACATCTGTCACTAGAATGTTTGCATGCATGGTCTTATTTAAAAGCATTAGGATACAGGTATTTGAGCTTTAAGAAGTCAAACAGACAAGAGAGCAAGATCTTAAAGGTCTGGCAAGCATTTAATTTTGTAATAAAGTTATCCAGACTGAAAACTAATCTTGGAGCCTATTTAAACATCCTAAAGAAAGTCACCCAAGCCGAAACAATAAACATATCACTCTGACTGAATTAAAATTCTTATCTAAAAGATGGCACTGACAAAAATAAAAACATTTTTCAAGGGTGTTTTCAACATTTGGTCACCATACATGATGATCTTTCATTGAGCACTACCAAAATTAAGCTATTTAACAACTGGCATATATCTTTTGCAAAAATTATAATTCAATTTTATAGTGTACCAAAAAATATATTATTGTGCAGCTATTCTACATTTTTTGCAACTTTACAAAATGATATTTCAATACATTAATAAAAATATTTGTTACAAAAAATTGGTTCCTGTATAAATCTATACTTAAAAAAGTCTAACATTTCCAATGTTTTACTGAGGGTCATGAAAAAAATTGATGTTTGACCTCAGAGTGAGATATTGGACCTGTCGATGAGATATTGGACTGCTTAAGTCACACTGTGGGCGGGAACAGCTAAATCTTATTTGCATGCATTGGTGATGGACAGTGACAGAATTGACCAAGTTTTAGTACAGGTAAAGGAAATCTACATCATGGAAGCCAGCACAAGATCCATGTATGTCAAAAAATATGAGGTATAACAAAACATTTATTGACTGTGTTCTCAGGCAAAACGCATGTTGCCCTCGAACCCACTCAATAAATGTAATACATAATTGTATAGGACTTGCACAAAAAATGTTCTAGTATACTCTGTGGGACCTCCTTTTTCTTATTGAAGATTACACATATGCACAATGTAACTGCTGTTTAACTATAGAATATTTATTAGACAAATCTATTATACTAAATTAATTTTTTTTTCAGTTAAGGAGTATGTGGCTCCATCAATCATGCATTGCAGTCACAATGATGCAAAAAGCTATTAGCAATTGTTTCTGCCATGAAAATTCTTAATCTAACTGTACATAGAACCCAAGTGGAGAATATGAAATATTCATAGCTGTTTTCATTAAATGAACCCATTAAATAAATTACACTGTTGCTGAGAAGTTTAAGTGAGGGACACCTCCACATATAATCAATAACTATTTCTGAATGCTAATTAAAGCAATACATCAATCCACATCAATAAATACTGTACAAAATACAGGTATTCAGTATAGGTGAATGGTCTACATTTGAGGCAGTCAGGTAGGTTCCATCACCGTGGCCAAATAGCATGGCCTGGGTTCGAATCCTGGTCCGGTCTTTTACATTCTTCTCCCTCTTCCGTCAATTTCATAAAAATGCAAGCAGTAAGTAAAAAGTACTTCATAAATGTATGTGAAACTCAGAAAAAAATTGTAATGAAAGTTAATTTGGAAGTTGGAACATCTTGGTAATTTTGATAAAAATGTCCTTAATTGTAGATTTATTGTTCTGCTATCCTTTAGCACAAGTAATCTGCATTGTCATGTTAATTCTAACTGATGCATTCACTTGAGGCCTGTAAACTACCACAACATATATCATACCAGGTAAAAGAAATCTTGCTATGAAACATCGATTAACAACTAGCTGTATACATATTTTATAACAAAAGGCATATCTAACACGTACAATACACAGTAACTTTAAATCCTTTACCTTGACAGATCCATCAATTAAACCAACTGCTAAGTGTTGTCCATCTGGACTAAATCTACAGCACATCACATCTGTGCTACAGTCACTGAAAGCAAAATTTAAAGACAATGTAATTTCATAGGATACTACCTACCACACAAAAAAATCATTCAATTACAAGGAGACAATGTAAATGTACAATTGTAATCTGTATGTTATCTCTGTAAGTAAAGATTGCTGTGAAGAACTGACACATTTTTGCATTACAGTGCATCATCAATTAAAAGACGAGTACAGTACATACACATACATAAATGTTTTATTACAATTTGTGTGTGAAATGTGTAGTGCTTTATGATGCAGTTATTGAAACATGAAATACAAGCATTTTTATGGAGATAATTGTATTCATATGAGAAAAACAAATGAGGACTTTAGAACTTATTAATTATAATCAAATTTCATTGAACAATTAATGTACTGTAACTAGTTAACATACTGTATACTGTACAATTTTTGCCCCCCCCCCCCCTTCCCACTTTATACCCTCTTCACAAACATCCTTGATTCTATATTTTTTCAACAGTTACAAGCCATGAAAGAGCCTGAAGTGAATATGAGTTGGTGGACTGTTTTGTATGGATGTGTTGTAGGAAAAAGGATTAGTGTAAGAAAAAATATCCCATATAAATACTATATGGGTGATCGTAATTAATGTCTGCACTCAAAAGTTTGTTGCTATTATTTTTTAATTAATATGGGTATTTTAGTGTGTAATATTAATGAAGAATACTGTGATTTGATTTACATTCAGTTTGAATCAGTAGTTGATTGGTGCAGGGTATATTACATGAATGACAAGAATCCAAAGGTAAACTTTCCAAGTTAAAAAAAAATCAAAAAAAAAAAATCATTTTTTTTGTTTAGTAAGATAATATACAAATTGGTATAAAAAGACAAGTATAGATCCTAAAGAACATTAAAATACCACTGAAAACAAAAATGAGAAGTTCTCCTTAAAATCAAATTACTCTCTCTACATTCATTTATAATACAAATGTTGTCAAAATAAACGGTTATGTTTGATATTTTACGCAGTGTATTTATTAGGACTAATTTTCAAAACAAGAAATAATAGTAAAGAAGATAATTGGGTAATAAAATTCATAACCATATGATACTCGAAATTTTATAACTTAAATTACTGAAAGAGAAGTCCATCAAACTTAAAACTTACATTGTACCAATCAGTTTTAGATTTCCCTCTAAATAAGGTCCAGTACGCGCATTTTCACTAAAATCTACAGACTCTGTGGCATTTGAAACCACGCTTGTCCGTCGGTTGTTAACAATAAACATGGTGGTGTGTTTATGTCCGTCAAAACATTAGTATGTGGAGAGAAACAATCGTCTGCTCCCTGCTATAGTCTTTGCTCCTGCTTGCCTTCTTGGTTGGCTATGTAAACTATGCAGTACCGCACTGAAGGCAAAAATTCCTGAGGACTAAATAAATAAATTCGGATAAAAACGTAAATGTAATTGCCAAACAAATACAAATAACTGTCAAAATAAAGCTTTATTGATATGAAAGATTTTAATATAAAATCTTATACGAGCAAAACAAATATTTTAGATCAATATCAGAGCTCTGTGTTTCAAGGATGTTAAAGATCCATAAAAAAAGAAATCTTTGGTTAAGGGAGATTTAAAAATGGCAACTCCAGCAAAGAGGCCACGTGAGGAAAATGAACCAAATGTTGATCAAAACACAAATGACAGTGTATACGCAAGTAATAAATCTGACTGCAGAAAGAGAGCAGCTGCATTTCTCAAGTGGTTTTCTTCTAATGCTGATAATTATTTCAATGAAAAGGTAGTCAGCCTTGAAATACTGGTACAGTTATGCTTATCTGGTACCGAATTTTCTCTTACGAAGCTTTAAGTTAACAGGTCCGGCACAATCACTTGATTTAGCTATATAGCTTGATTTAGCTATATAGCTTTATTAAGCTATTCAGAATAGCTTGATTTAGCTATTTTGTCACACTTTTTTCTTAAATGTGCTATTTTCTCAGCATCTACAAAAAGTCGCACCTTGGTGCAGTGATAATATTCAACCTTGAACTCTTCTGAAAATAATGCATGTAAAAATCACTCATCAAATTGTGTCTCCTTAAGAGACTTTGTACTCAAAGTTCTAAATGTTTTGAGGCTATATAAAGCAATTGATACAGTTACTTCTGCAATGAAATTATAAAGGAGGCCAATTATGGTCAACAAGATAATTGATTGGTAATAATTCAGTACAATGACAAGCAATCATACTTATCCATGCCTCAGCGCACACAAGGTAGTGTACAGTTACTCAAACAATGGAAATACATCTTTTGCTTAAAAGTATTCAAATGTTGCAATGTTAGAACTATCTTCGATTTCAGTTGTTGTTTTGTTAGCCCATAGTACATATATGAATAGTCAAATACTTGCGACTTTTTGACTATTTCTTGCAAAAAACATGTTTGTGAAAAACTGTATAAAAATAGCTTTATCAAGCTATTTTGAATAGCTTAATAAAGCTATATGGCTATTTCAAGCTATATAGCTAAATCAAGAGATTGTGCTGGACCTGGTTAATTCATTATACATGTTATATACCTAAAGCAAATCGCCTTAGGTCTATGTTTATTTGAATTATCTGATTTATTAGAATACAGTGGCGGATTACAAAGTTTATTAGATAGCAGTCATTCCTCCCCTAAAATTTTACTTTTGACAAAAATCAAAAGACTTCTCCATGTTCTATATGAGTCTCTATTTCATCTCCAGTAAAGATGTTATCTACCACATATTGAAATTTGTTTAACTATTATGAATACTAGAATTGAAATTTTAATACATAATAAGAAGAAATGTAACCAATGTACTCTAAAATACTCCAATCAGCAATGTACTCTTGAGCACACTGTACATATACCCAGTAGTTCTAATGTTTCACAAAAAGTTTTTTTTTAATTGCTTGGTAAATGTACACTGCATGAGAAGATTAAGTCAATGTCATTCATGATAATCACTCCAGGTTACCATTGGACCAGATGGTTCTTGTGCTCAGAATGGCATGGTCGCTCTTAGTGACATTGATGAGGGAGAATGTCTTTTCCGGATTTCCAGAAAAATTCTTCTACATCCAAAGACTTGCAGCATTTCAGAATTACTTGAAGAAGGTAAGAGCATATATTGCATTGTACTAACATATTAAATAATCAACTGTGATACATTGGTAGCTTAGATAGGCATGAGAGATGCAAATCATCACCCCCACCCCACTTTGACTTTTTCAAATGTATATTACTGATAAACATCTAAGCCATATATTATCCCATTTAAAAGCAAAAGAAAATATTTTTTATAAGTAATAATGCAGAAGTATAAAAAAAAGTTAACTTATTTACTACATATCACTATCACAGGAAGTAACAAAATTGCATCAGATTTAGAAGTCTACCCCAAGTATATCTTTGCTAGCCCAGGATAATAAAGGGACGAATGGATCATCACCATTTCCAAGCTTAGCTAGATGATATCCATGCAACAATTGAATAATTTTTTTTTGAGGCGCATCGCTATCTGCGATGTAGCCTCATTGCTGATGACCCCCACTCTTTCTTTCAATTACTGAGGCGACGAAGGACTCCACAATATTGATTCTAAATACATTATTGAAAATAGTGCAAATGTATATTTACAAGATGGTGATATTCACTGTCTATTTTTAAATATTAAATAACATAAAATCTCACATTTATATGTTGTTTATACTTTGAAAGCAACAAAGATAAAAAAGAAAAAAAAAACAAACAAAAACCGAGAAAGAGAGAAAACAACGACAAATATGTGCGCTACGCAGATTAAGATCTATTTGCATCACAACAGCTCGTACTATAAATTATTAGGCCTTGTTAGGGGACATTGCTTGTACGAATATCTGAGAAAAATGTACAATAATTTTATTTGATAAAGCATCACTAACAATAGGAACAAGATGGTTATTTTTATAGAAATAGAAGGAATATTATTTGTTCACTCATTGAAACGAATAGTAAGATGTCCAACTGAATAAATTTTAACAAGCGCCACCTTTCGGGAAAAAAATTCCCCGTGTTACACGAAACGGTGAAATGACCGGTTTTTGGTGAAATGTTGGTTGAATATCATGAAATGACTAATAATAAAAAACAGCAGTGACTGTGGATTCAATTTATAGGATTATTAATACCTTATAAACTTAGATGTTTTGAGTACAATCCTTACCGCTAAGGTTTTATAGCTAATTTTATTGGAAATATCGGAAATCGGCCGAAATTTAAGGGGTTTCCTAGTATATACCGTATACCATGCCCGATTGTTGTTTTTTTTTCAGTCTCGTATTATTTATATGAACATTTCATGAATCACTATGGTTTACGTATTCATGGTATTATGCCATTTTGATTGAGAAAACTAGTCTAAGACAAGTATTGATATTTTAAAAAAGTGCACATAAGGAAAGAAACTGAAAAAAAAAATCAGATATGAAATTGTGTAGAATTACTCAATAATCAATCATTTCTAAATTCTCATTCATTATTTCATCTTCCTACTGTGATTATAATTAAATAATAAAAATAAAAAAAATAAATTATTATAATTTATAAAATTATAAATTTATTTAAATATCGATGAATTATAATTGATATATCAGACTATCTTTAAGTTTAAACAGAGACATAGCTTTAGAGAAATATTTGTTTGCCCTCTCCCGACCGACTGGTTAAAAATGCCATATGACTCAAAACTTTTTTAACCTCAGAGAAACAATATTTTAATTTTTATTTTCATTCCTGATTTTTTTCATTCCCTCAACATGTATGATGAATTTTTCTGAGAAAAAAATTCGAGTTTTCTATCTTCAATGTGATGCGCCTCTCAGGCCTTCAGGCCTTTGATTTCAATTTTATATGAGATGCTGTAAACATACTTTTTCCTAGCTTAGATGATATCCATGCAACAATTGAATAATTTTTTTTTTTCAATTTTATATGAGATGCTGTAAACATACTATTTTGTTTAGGTAAAGCATACAGTATTAAATAACCACTTTCAAATGATGTATTAAGTTGTTGGATGTTTCTCAGAGTTCTCTCTGCCAACATTAAAATTAAATAATGTTGTAGAGCTGCATTTTTATGCCCCCTTCGAAGAAGGGGGGGCATATTGCTTTGCTGCTGTCTGTCTGTCTGTCCACCAACAGTTTCCGTTCATCTTCTTCACAGAGGTTGTACATACTGAAAGGAAATTGGTATACAGATTTATCATAAAAATATCTAGGTCAAGTTCTGTTTGGGTATGATCAAGCAAATTTTTACAGAGTTATGCCCCTTGGACTTAGAAAAATTCCAATTAATTGGGAAGGGGGGATAAGTGTTTCACAAACATCTCTTGTTCAGATAAAAATATATCAATTTGAATGAAATCTTATTTTTGGAACAAAAAGAGTTTATTTCAAGCAAGAATATGAAAAATTATATATTAATAATATAGTAAATTTACATTGAATTCACTAGGATGTAGAAAATCTTCCTTTTTGTTAAAATCTTGTGTGCTGCAAAATGGTAACTAAGCAGGCCATCTTGGATTTGGTACTTAGCATCAGATATTTATGCTAGCTCTCCCTATGTAGCAGCTAGGCTAGCTTAATGTTCAAGATTGTAGCTTTACATAGAGGCTAAGTAGCGGCTTTGCTCTTGAATGCACCCCTGATCTTCTCTGTTTTAGACCCTGTTAACAGTGAGAGTGGGTGGTCAGAACTGCTGATTTCTATGATGCATGAATATAATGCCCAGAAGTCACAGTGGAAACTATACTTTGATGTTTTACCAGAATCAGTTGATTTACCAATGTTTTGGACAAAGTAAGATTAAGACAAATTTCATTAAAATTATTGGAAACCATTTTTATAGCAGTCATGTCAGAGGAAACAGTTCTCTTTCAGAGAAGACATACTTTCATTCTTATATATGAATTTTCTGACAAAAGTCAAATCTTGATTTCTCTAGATAATTATTATTATTGTATTATTAATAGAATCTGGCAAAGATATCAGGCATTGATTTAAGAGACTCTGGCCTTTTCATTTAGATAACCAGAAATTTTGATAATAATTGTTGTGTATAATTTTGTAAATAGAGAAGAGAGGGAGCCGTTATTGACAGGAACAGGAGTAGTGGAGGCAGTGAACCGTGACATCAACAAAATCCATAAGGAATTTGAAGCAATTGTCTCCCCTTACATAAAAAAGCACAAAGACATCATCAGGTCTGGATCACATTCATACTAGTATTGATGATTTGCAATGTCTAAAAATGGAGTGTGTTCAAGGGGAACAACTCCTAATACAATTAATACATATATCAATTATACTTACAATATGCCACTTTATTTTCATCTGTACAATCAAAGTTTTGATTTAAAAAACAACAGTTATCTTGATTGATATTACATGTATTTTCTTGAAGTCCAGGATGTGACGACATAGATTTATACAAAAAGATGGTGTCCTATGTGATGGCCTACAGTTTCACAGAGCCACCAAAGGATGATGACAGCGATGATTTAACTGAAGAGGAGGAGGAAGAAGAAAAGTCAATCATTTATATGGTCCCCATGGCTGACATGTTAAACCACATAGCCAAGAATAATGCTCATTTGTCTTTTAAACCTGATTGCTTAGAAATGATTTCTACTAAGGCAATTAGCAAGGTAAGGAAGTTGTTAAATGTTAATAAAATATCTTTTGATAAATACATGTGAATAAACTGGTTTATGGTAAGGCACACACCATTTTATTGATTGTGTAGTCATATTCTGCTAAATTTCTAATTGAACTTTTTTTTTATTTAGGGAGAGGAAGTGTTTAACACCTATGGAGAGCTTGCTAACTGGCATCTTCTCCACATGTATGGATTCTCAGAAGCTTATCCTGAAAATCACTATGATACAGTAAGATTATGAGTTACTGTTTTTGACAGAGGTGTTTATTATATTCAGACTTATTCTACTGTAATTTTTGGATGATAGGTTGATACTTTTTTTCTCAGAACCATTGGGGTCACCCTGTTTAACAAATCGACCTTTGTAAGGCTCTCATTAATGAAAAATGCCCCCAAATCATAAAATTTACGTAAATTTTAAAGCAAGTCTATGGCATTTTCGTAACTTTTTTAATCATTTTACTGAGAAAAAATAATAAACAATCAACAATTAAAGATATATTTCAATGATGTCTTACAAATTAACTTCCATTAAATATTCATCGATGTACAAAACTAAACTTATTTAATCACCTCGTAAATATGTCTCATCAAACTTCAAAGTATATTTAACAACATGCTTTCTGCATCCATCTTGTGAAGTTGAAAGTCGCAATTGTTCACTAAAAATAAAATCGCAACCATATTGACATTTAAAATACAGATAGTTTTCAAAATTGCTATTGGGAAAATAATTGTCATCTTTTTTATGTGTCATGTGTAAATTGAAATAATTGACTTAGAAACATGATACATTGATTTGTACTTAAATAACAAGTAATTTCTTTGGAAATTATGTGAAATTTAGATTACACTGCACTTTTAAATTAAAATATTTTATTTTTCAGGTAGACATGCCTCTGGACACTGTTCTAGACATTGCTGAAGAGGAAACAGAAAATAAAGAATTTGCAAAAAAGAAATCTTCTTTCTTTAAACAAAAGGTACCTGTACTATGTACACCAAGAAATCTTATCTGACAGTCACTTTCACACGGTCAAATAAATATAAAGGAAATGTAAGTGGTAACATTAACAAAAAATAGATAAGAGGTTTCTGATGTTAGCAGATTCTTGTTAGATAAAATTATTTGCTCATAAATATTTTTAATCATTGAACCAATTTGCCACCTATAAAACCAATTCATACATTTCTTATCAAAGGATTTGAATTGAGCAAGAAAGTGTGACAGTTAAACTAACAATTTGTTTTATATATAGCTTATGGAGGATTTGATTGGTGACGTGGTGGTGGGAACTAGTGGGATTTTAACAGACGACAGATTGTTCCTGGTGTTAAAGGTCAGCCCTACCACGACTGTTATGTAATCACTGATTGGATCACTTTTTTATGGGGCTTTTAAAACAAGATTTATTAATTCTTTGTTATCCAATATCAAAATCAGCTTATATACCAAGGATTTTTTTTTTTTTTTTTAATTTTACTAAGAATTTTTTTTTTTAATTTTAAGAAACAAAATTTCTTTTAGGCAGTGCATTATTTTACTACATGTATCTGGAAAAAATGTACTTTAAAAGGTTTCTAATATGGAAAAAAATTTCATATTTACAACTTTTGTTCATGTTAAATGGTGATACATGTATAGTGTTGTTTAGAAATGGGAGCTACAGATCTGTAGCTTAATTGCTGGTCTGAAAAAATCATGGAGGATGACCAATTTTTTTCAGACCAGAAAGTGACAGATCTGCAGCTATAGAAATGTCACCCAGTTTCAAAAAGTAATGCAGTTATTGTTCCAACACTTCAGATTTGTGAGAAATTTCTGCTAAAAATCATCACACAAATTGAAGATAAATACAATGCTGTAAAATCACATAGTTTGGTGGGATCAAAGTTTTGTGGTTGGAGGAAAAATATTGTTTTCTGGGGACTTAATTTCATGGTTGAGGAAGTGTTGAGTTGTTGTATATACAAAATTTTACATTTCATGGAGGACATGAATTTGTGGATCTTTTCATACCAAAACAAAAACAACAAAAATTAACCACCCACAAAAGTTAGTGAATTCACAGTACCTGGATATTTATTTTTTAAGTGTGTAATAGCCATTTCATATATAAACATATATTTTTATATTTGTCCTTTGATCTCTGTCAGGTGATGGAGATGACCCCTTCACAGTTTGCCATTTATGAGGAGGAGTGTGAGGAGGGCTGGGAGGAGGATCTGGAAGAGGACACATCTGTCCTCGCAGACTTTGGTAAGTACATGTATAAGTGTCAGATATTTGTGTTCTACATGTGTAAAGGGAAACAACTTTGCAATAACAATCTCTCATTTTCAGCTAATAGGGACTAGCTTTGAAAGCATTCTACATTATTTAATATATTCCATTTTCACATTGTTAATGAATTTCTCTTTAAAAAATGGTGATTACATTTTAAGCACAGGTTCCTTAAAGTATACTGTGATTTTTTTATTGGGTTTTTGATATAAATGAAATAAGTAGAAATAAGTATTTAATCTGTGCAAATATTAATTAACTGGGCAAGGTTGAATACTGTGGAATCATCATTGTTCATGGGGGACCAATGTTCATGAATTTAGTGGGTCACCCTTACCTGTGACTTTGCATCCCAATGAACGTTTATTTTGTAAACAGATTGATTCATTGAATCTACCATATAAACAAGTAAACCACGAAATTACGTCCCCAAGAACAAGTAAAATTTTGCTTGCCAACAAACATTGAACCCCATCAATTAAAATGATTCCAGTATACGTGGTGGATTCTGTAACAATGCTATACAAAAACTTTACTTTTTTCTGCAGAAAAAATGAAAGATCTGAGCCAATCTTGGAAAACTATCATCTCCAGGTATAAAGTTAAAGACAAAGTTAATTATTTAGAAAATAAAAGATCTGCCATGTTTTGAAATCAAACTGTCGTTAAAATTACGCAGATTGAAGGTAACACAGTTCTAAATTGGCATCCAACTGAGAACCTACATTGCCAGGTTTTTACTGTATAAAATGTTACAGGTCAGCATCTACCTGTTTGAAGAGGTACAACACTAGTATGCAGGAAGATGAGGAGAAGTTAATGCAGATCAAGACACTTAACTCACGGCAGCAACATTCATTATATCTGTGTTATGGACAGAAAATGTTACTGCAGAAATTAATAAATGCCTGCAGATAAAATACTTGTGTTGAAAGTCTTATTAGTGTACTTTAGTGTAATATGAACTCTCCAGGACATATTTTAACAGTGGATTACAGTGTACTTTAAACATTTTATTATACTTTAAACAATTTATTATTAAATTTGTTGTTTTTATCTCTCCTTGACAAAGTTGATACGAGATACCCCTTGCTTCAGCATCTCAGTTGAAGTTTTAGGAGCAAGTCCATTTTCAAGTAACTTCGAGCATGAGCCCTACCTGAACCAAACTTGTATGAATGATGCATCTAGTGATGTATACTACCAGACGTGCTTGGACATCTGGCTCTAGGGCCAGTTCACTTTTGAGATCAGTCAAAAAATCTCAGATTCCAGACTCACTTCAAACCAGAGAGCATGACCTTCACAACATGGGTAGAAGACTATTAAAATTTTTATTATAATTCGGAAAAAGTTTGTCTGCTAAATTTCCATGAGTAGAGAAAATTTTCAAAGATGTACATGTATTTTCATATATGACCAACTAAGCCCCACCATAAGGCATGAACCATGGACCCAGGGGTAATTAATATCACAATTATGGTACATGTGAACTGTTCAGGACTAAATATAATCATGCACACAATTTGCTTGCTGGTTTAATGAATTGTTCTCTTCCAAAAATGTTAAGCTATTAAGTAAACTTTGCTCGTTTATAAAAATTGTAAATGAGAGAGTCAAACCTCCTGGTTAATAACATTTATATATATAGAAATATGATGCAATCATAAACACATTTTGTATATATGTTACATGTTTTGCTCATGCATGTATGTTGTTATAATTGTAATATGTTGCTTTGATCTCTATGTTGTTAAATAACAACCAAAGAGATACAAATAAACTGGTAAACTGACTAGATGTCCAGGGGTAAAGAAGATTTGATAGGCAATGATAGGTAAAGTGAGTTTTTAGAACTTGTGTCTGATCCCATTGTACAGATGTATATACCAGTACAGGTATATATTATAATAAAATATGTTAATTAAATCAATGCATGTTCAATATACATGCTTGACCAGCTAAGTTCCACTCTAGAGCCTGAACCCGCGGCCATGAATTTCACAATTTTGGTAGGTTTCTTGCTTTTCCTAGCAATGCATTCAATTTTACATACACACAAGTAGAGACAAATTTTCTAAGATTATGTGCATTTTTGCAATATGACCATATTGGCCCCACCTTGGAGGAAGGCCCTGAGTATCATGGAAAACACTATTTTGATGAGGGTTTAATACTGTTCCCAACCATGCATTCTGTTTAACTTCTAGATGTGCAGGAGTAAAAAAGATTTTCTTGCATTAAGTACATATTCCCTATTTCTACCCCTTTCCTGGAGGAAGAACCTCTGCCCTGGGGGTCATGATAAACTCAGTTTGGATAGGGGGCTGCATGTTCTTGCTAACCATGCTATTAGTATTCCTTAAAAATATGCAGGAGAGGATTTTGTTAGATTATGCACATTTACACTAAATGACCATTTTGGGAAGAACCCTTAAGCTTGCCCTGGAGGTCAGAAAAACATTATTTTGGTATTGCTTCATGCTCTTCTTAACCATACATTCATTTTTCCTAGAAGATGTGCAGGAGTGGAGAGGAATATTTCGTAAAATTATGTACAGTTTTACAGTATGACCATTTTGGCAACACATTGGAAAAAGAACCCTTGCCCTATCTAGGAGTTATGAAAAACAATTTTAGTAGAGGGCTTCATATGTTCCTTCTATCCAGGCCTTCATTTTTCCCTCAACTAAAGATTACCGATATGTACATTTTCACTAATGCTACATGAACATTTTGGTCCTGTCTTGGAGGCAGAACCCCTGCTGGGGGTAATGAAAAAAACACACATCTTTGGTAGTGGCCTTCATGATCTTCTGTACCATGCATTGTTTTACTTCAAGATGTGTAAGAGTAGAGAGGAATACTTTTGAAAATTTGGCTATTATTAGCAGTTTTTTTTATTGTCCCACCTCTAAAATCTCAGGCATTTAATGATATGATTATACCCTTACCCCGAATACCAAATTTGATGACAATTGACCAAGTACTGTGGAATCATTTGAATTGTGGGGGTCAATGTTTATGGGAAACCAAAATTTTACTGGTTCCTAAGGATGTACTTTCATGGGTAACTTGTATATAAAAAAAGTTTCAATGAATAATACCTTGTCAAAGTTCGTTCATGGGGATGTAAATTCAAGGGTAAGGGTGAACCATGAACTTTGGTCCCCCATGAACAACGATGATTCCACCATAGCTTTCAAGGAGAAATTATAAATATTCAATTGTAATTGGTTGAAGATCAATGGAATAGGTCACCTGATTGACTCTGGTAATCTAAGCACCAGTTTCTTACTCTCTATTTTTGCACTTAAAAAAGTTGCAAATGTATAATTTTTAGCTCACCTGAGCTGAAAGCTCAAGTGAGCTTTTCTGATCACCTGTTGTCCGTCGTCCATCCGTCTGAAAATTTTCACTTTTTCAACTTCTTCTCAAGAACTACTGAGCCAATTTTAACCAAAGTTGGTAGAGAGCATCCTTGGGTGAAGGGGAGTTTAAATTCTTAAAGTGAAGGGCCAACCCCCTTACAAGGGGAGATAATCAAGAAAAGACAAAAATAGGGTGGGTCATTAAAAAATCTTCTTTTCAAGAACCACTGGGCCAGAAAAGCTGAAATTTATGTGGAAGCATCCTTGGGTGGTGTAGATTCTAAATTGTTCAATCATGGCCCCTTGGGCTAGGGCGGGGCCACAATAGGGAATCAAAGTTTTACATTGAAATATATATGCAAGATCTTTGAAAATCTTCTCAAGAACCACTGGGCCAGAAAAGCTGAAACTTACGTGGAAGCATCCTTGGGTAGTGTAGATTCTAAGTTGTTCAAATCATGGCCCCCGGGGGTAAGGCGGGGCACAATAAATATTACAAAGGGGAGGTCTTGTGAAGAACAGCAGAGCCAAAGTAACTCAGGAGAGTGTTGTGGCCCATGGGCCTTTTGTTTTTTTACCACTACCACTTTCTCCTGACAATAGACATTTACTCTTAAGTTTCTTTCTCTATTTTACCAGACATTAACTTGTCAAGAAAAAAATAGTGATGTCATATTATTTATTTTCTCATCACAATGACAGAAATGTGCAAACCAAATAAAAAATAATTAATTTCAAGGTAGCAAAATGGCTCTGATGAATTAGAAATGTTGGCAAAATAAACTTCTAATGCACATGAATATTCGCCAATTTTTTTTTTATATTTTATAAGTGAAATTTTATTTGAATAACAATTGAAAGCCACAAAAAATGTTAAGGACCAGTAAAAATGAGAAAATGAATTGTATTATTCCATAAAACTGATTATAAGTTACGTTTTCATGTACCATTACTTATGTGTAACAAACTGTAAAATAAACATTCACATACATAAAGCTACTGGTATATACCAGTAGGTTCATTATAAATACATAAACACACACAATTCTGGGTTGAACAACCTGAACACATAGTTTGAAAACATGACAGAGGTGTATTGGCTACAGTAACAGATGGATAGGGTTCAAAGTCTAAAATCAAAACAGGTGTATCTACTGGGTATTCACTTCATTGTAGTGCAAATAATAATGGTTTAGTCATACAAAAAATGCAGTGGAGTAAATAAAAACTTGTTTTCAGTCATTCCATGCAAGGTATTTAAAACAAGTTAAAGTAAGTTTTAAGGATGTGCTTAATTAATCCATATGATTAATTTTTTCTAATTTATTTTGACAATTTCGTTTTTTTACAGATTTATTATTTGATTGACTACCACTACTGTAGATCAACAAATTTTTGCGACATCTTATTTTCGCGAGAAAATAAATTGGTATTTATAAGCAAAAAAAAATTTCACGAATTTTGGTACCATTGTATATAATCTGTACTAATGAAAATATACGCACGAATGAAATTTTTGCAAGCAGACCGTCTCAAGTAAATACATAAAGTTCTTGCAAATAAAAATGATTTACACTATTCAAAACATGATTTCTTATTCAGGAAAGAGGAGACATGGTGTGTATATATACAATATAAATATAGATGTACATGTATAAAGATATACAAATTACATGTTCAACATCAGTTCACGGGTTTCAGTTTGATGCTAATGGAATGCTGGACTAAATTACATGAAGGTGGTAGCCTTACTTTCAATAGATTTACATTTAATTCACTGTTTCCCTTTATATATACAAGTTTGTAGAAAACAAAACAATCTGGAAAACTTAAATCATTTATCTCTTCCTCTATCTCATTTAAAACCTTTCAGTTATACCTTTCCAACATAATATCACTGAAGTTATTAAAGATTCAAAACTGTATATACCATACATATGAATGCATATAAACGGTAAACTACATTTATTGTTAAAATTTAAAGAACAGATCTTTGATCTTAATGGTATCAGTCTAATTGCAATTGTACAAAATTCTAAGATAAAGAAAACTTGAACATGAATGAAATTAAATAAATGCATGCCTAATTAATATCATTAGAAAAACTTGTATGAGATCAACAACTTGGTATTTATGTACAGTTATGAAAAAGCTACATTTTGTATCTGAACAGATGTTAACTAGTATGAAAAGCACTAATACCGGTACTTAATTATTCAAATCATTATCTTGCATTTTATCTGTTATGATAAAAACATACTAACATTTGGCACATCACAAACTTGCAAAAAAAAAAAAATTACTTAATCATACACAATGCAATTAAATCAAAGCTAATTACATGACCTGATTTCTAAATTCAAAACATGATTAAGAACATTATCTGTTCAACACACAAGTAGATCATAATTTATACGGACTGAAAGTTAAATGCTGATGGAGACAACTTTTCCACACTGTTATTTGTGTCGGTGACAGAAATCTTGTCCTGGTATTGTTGACAGTCGACAAGGGGTTCCTGTTCGTGTCAGACCATGACAACGCACACT